ACCCGTTCGTCATTCGGTCATCCAGAATGATCCCACGTGTTAACAAGTTGAGGTGAGACTATCTCCCTTCCAAACCCATAATTCCGATGTATTCCGAACTATTCTCTCTAGCTCGTATCATCCATATTAGGGGTCTGAGGTAACCCTTTTCAAACTGTAAGCAAGGTCACCGGATCGAGTCATTCCTTATTTATAGCTAAAAGGGAGACTCGCTTCCAAATCAAGTTAATGACTGAGGCGAGATTTTTCAAAACCATAGTTCCGATTCCCCGGACGACAATCTGTACCTTATCCGAACGTCGCTCGGTTCGTCCATATCTTATAGTCTTGACACCATCTCCAAGCCGTTTTGATCCCTTTGCCCGTACGTAATTACATGGTCGAATTTAGCTAAGTTGATGACTCAGCTCCCTCCAAACTGTTAACCCGTTCCTCATTCGGTCATCCGGAATGATTTTGCGTGTTAAAAAGCTGAGGTGAGAATCACTGACATCAAACTCCAAGCCATTTTGATCCCTTTAACAATGCGTAATTACAGGGTCAAACTCTATTAGCTGAGATAATGGCTCCCTCCAAACTGCTAATATGTTCCTCATTCGGTCGTCCAGAACGATTCCCATGTTAACCGCTGAGGTGAGACTATCTGAGTGTCAAACTCCAAGCCGTTGGCTGAGAATGACTTTCCTTCCATGCTGTTAACCCGTTCGTCATTCGGTCATCCGGAGTGACCGTGTTAACCATGGGCTGAGATTTTCTGAGCATCGATTCTTCAAGCCGTTTTGATCCCTTTATCCGTTCATAAATCTATGGTCAAAACTTTCTTAGCTGAGAATGATTTTCCTTCCATGTTGTTAACCCGTTCATCATTCGGTCATCCGGAATGATCTTGTTAATCATGGGCTGAGATTTTCTCGAAGTTATGTCTCCCTCTCTCTATATATACACACTTCTCCTTTTTTTAGAGGTGGCAACAGCCGTTTTTATTGATAAAACTTCCTCAAATGTTCCGTATTCCATGTGCCTGCCGGTCGACCTTCGGTACATTGTAGGCCAAACGTTCCTGAAGCATACTTCTTGCATATTTGATAGCGAACTCCTCAGACTCTTTGAATGACTCCCGGACGGCAGACAAATCAACCTTCACCTCAGCAGGGCCGTCCGGGATACGAGGGGCATGCTCTTCAAACTTAACCAAGGCAGCTTCGGCAGCATGAACCTTGGATTGAGAGGCCCCGAGCTGAACCCGGAGTTCACCAAGCTCCGACTCGAGGCGCTTCTTCTCCTCCATAGAGGCCTTCCGTTCGGCCTCCAGAGCAGCAAAAGCAGCGGCGGCATTCTGCTCCGCAGAAGTCTGAGCAACGATCAGCTTCCGCTCCTTAGCCAGTCGAGCCTCTTTCAGCTGCAAACTGTAAAGCCCAACCTGCAGAATGTCGTTCGGGAAATGAGATGGTGAAAAGAAATTCAACATATGAGATATGTAGAGAAGAGTAAAATACCTTCAGGGCTGCCAAGGCCAATCATTCCTCGGATTGCTCGACCGATAGCTTAGGAACGGTGAAATTGTTGAAGAAGGCAGAGGTAGACCAAATCTGGCTTGCTGAGCAGCCACCTCTCTCTACAACATCATGAACTGGATCCGCCAGTGAGATCCGGTCAACCTGGCCAGAGAGCTGGACGGTGGGTATATCACCCGCACCCTGACCGATCTCTTGAGCAGCTTGGAAGTGCTCATGAAATTGTTGCATTTGATCAGAACCAAACCGATCATCGACCAACATGGCATCGAATTGGTCCTGATGGACCTGTTGTATTGGCTGTGGCTCTGGAACTGGTTGAGAAGACCCAGCGTCCTGAGCAGTAATAGAGGAGGGAGTTGGTTGGGGGTTTTTCCTGGCTTTTTTCCGCTTACCAACCCCACCAGCTGCCAGAACTCTGCTATTATCCATGGGTAAGTCTAGATTTGGTGCTGAAAAAATGACAAAGGAAAATGTTAGTACCGAGCGGCCTTGACATGTGAGAAACTAGAAAACAGATGAGAACGTTTCTCGCACGGGAAGGACCGCCCGGACCATGGCACTTGATTTCTCAAAACAAGTAAACCCAAGAGAACGGGCAGAACCTATCCCGGCTTCGATTAGCCGATCGGGAGTCAGATAACTCATGATATCCATGCATTTATCCTTCTCCACAGCAAGCACATCCTTGTAAATTTCTTCAGTGAGGACTGGATCAGGAGTTTTGCGGGGAAAGGCATTCCATTTGCGGGGAACTAGGCCGTCCGGGACAGATACGAAGAAGAACCGATCTTTCCACCCCTTGATCGAAGTCGGATTGCCCTTGAACATGATATGTCTCGTTCGGGCACTAGTGGCCAGATAGCCGTGTGTTTGTTGAGGGGCTACCTTAAAAAATTGATGGAAGAGATCTAAGGTCAGTCGGGCACCGGCATCTTTACAACGGCAAATAAAGCCCGCCATTGCCCGATAGGAATTCGGCATAATTTGGGCCGGTACAATTTCATAGAAATTAAAAAATGAAACGAAAAAAGAATGTAGCGGAAACCTAAGCCCGACCCTAATTGAGTCAAAATGAACTACAACCATCCCAGGCCTATGACGCATTGGGTGAAGCCAAATCGCAGTCGGAAATTCACTGGGTCTGGGATTAGGGCCGGAATTTCGGCCCTATTGTGGGAGGTCAGTTTCTGCCGCCTTTCCCTAATCAGTTTTAGGTCAAGGGTATGGCGAGGGAGATCGTTGGGACGTCCGGCCGCCATGGAAATTAATTCATCCTCGGACTTGGTATCATCAGAATCTTCACTGGAGGAAGAAGAGCTGTCGGAGGAGTCATCCGTCTCCGCCCTAACCTCCGCCGTCGCCGCCTTGAAACCTTCATCAAAAGGGACGGTGATAATCTCCACATCACGATCCTCCCCTTGAGAAGCCATTTCCGAATCAGAACATCGTTGGGAATTCATCTCGACCGAGTTAGGGATGAGGCGAGAAAGCAAGGGAGGGAAAGTACCTGAGCAACGAAAGCTGGAAGAAATTTCAGAGAACAGCAAGGCGAAGAAAATTGCAGAATCGAAACCCAGATTTGAGAAGGTAAAGGCTAATTTATAGCTTTTGAACCGCCGTGTCAAGAACCAATCAGGGAGCGACACGTCACTAGAAGCATTTAAGCTAAACGCGTGTCTAATGAAAAGACTAAACGACGGTTATCATGATGAATATGGGGAAATGAAACGACAGCCGTCAAATCACAGTATGGGGAACTGATTACTTCTGTACCCCGATCGCCATTCGGCAATTTGCAACATTGATATTCATACTTCCTAATGCACTCACTATCATTCGAGACATTGGAAGTGGGGGACTTGTGTTGGGTTATTGACCCGAAGGCCCAATACCCGGATCAAACAGGCCCAGGATACCCGGCCCAAATAATGAGTCCACTAGCTTATGATGAGTAGATCCAGTGAAGAATTCATACCGAACGGGGTTCGGTCCAAGTAAAGGCCGGCACAGAAAGAAGATATACCGAACGGAATTCGAACTATATATCATACTTGGGCCAATTTGGCAGCGTCTTCAGCATGGTCCAACATCCCGTTCGAGCAACGGACAACCAGCAAATGGAAACATGGATGATCAAGTCGGTGGAACAACGGCCAATCAGCATAGAGCAGCCCATGCTCTCCATTAGTATAAATAGAAGGTTTAAAATCATTGTACGGGTTAACATTTCAATACTCAGGCTCTAGAATAGCATTATTACTCTTGTTTCTTGTATTAAAGCATTATTCCGACCTACCGATCGGAAATTTCCTTGTAATCAGACAGGTTAATTAATACAAGTGAGCTTTTGGGTATTAGTGAGTTCATATTTTATATTTTCGTTATACACTTTGATTCTGGTCCATTCCTAATATATCCAAAGTTCGTGTTGGGCTTTCGGATCTACGAGACTTACCTTCAACAATATATAACTAAAAAATATTCGAATGGTGTCAATTGACAACATTTCATATATATATATATATATATATATATATATATATATATATATATATATATATATATATATATATATATATATATATATATATATATATATATATATATATATATATATATATATATATATATAGAGCGGATCAGGTGAGAAGTGCTCTTAGGCTGAGAACTGCGAAGTTTATTTAATAGACTAAAAACACGAACTTTTAACCAATAAATCATAACTTATAGACCCCGTCGAATAATTACGAAAATGCCACCGCAAAAAAATAAGCCCGGAAACCTTGAAAAATTTTGGACGCGATGGCATTTTCGTAATTATGATGGAGAGCTTTATAAGTTTTGATTTATTGGTTATAAATTCCTATATTCAGTCTATAATTTTACTGCGTTGCAAGATCACATGCAAATCCAAAGGCTGAGATTACTTCTTGCTTCTCATTTTAAGGCAAAATATGGTTGTACTTAGGTAGACTTGGATTCGGTTCGGGCCACTCGGCCCGTGACCCGGCCGGGTCGGGCTCGGGTCCAATGGTCCATTTTAAAAAAAAATTGTTCGGCCCCAAACTAGCCGTTATGGCCTTGGGGGGTGGGCTGGGCCGCTGGGGACAACCCAAACGGCTATATAGCCGTTGGGTGGGGTGCAGGGGGGGTTGGGGGGTAAAAGAACCTATAAATACTCCTAATCTTAAACAGTTTTTCATATCTTTTCTCCAATTCTTCCTAAATCCTATTCTTAACTCTCTACTCTCTAATTCTCTTATTCTCCATTATATTATATTTATTATTTATATATCTACTTTATACTTAAGATGGAAAGTCAAGATGTCGTTATACGGTATAATTTTGATAAGCAGAAGGACCCGAACACCGGGATGTGGTACGCAACTTGCAAATGGTGCAGGAAAAAATGTAGCATGGGGGTTTCAGGCGGATACGGGATGGCAATGAAGCATATGAAGTCATGTGAAAAAGCCAAAGGATCGAGAGGTGCGGGAAGTTCTGATTGATTACAATTTACAAAATGTTTGTCTCTTGAAGTTTGTTTTAATTTTCAAATGTAGTTCCTATTTCATTTCAAATAAATGCACTTGAAGTTTGTTTTTAATACTTGTATAAAACTAAAAACTATAAAATATAAATTATATATAAAAAAATCTTTAACCGGCCCGATCCGACCCGGCGGGTGGCTCGACCCGTGACCCGTGCGGGTGGCCCGGCCCGAACCGGACCCGTCCAACCCTCGGGCCGGTCCCGGGCCCATGTCATACAAACCGGCGGCCTGACCGGACCCGACACGGCCCGAGTCCATGACTATACTTAGGGGTGGTCAAAAAAGAATAAATTTCACTTTTGATCCTACAAATATTACACCAATTCCACAATTAGTCCATGTGTTTGACTTGAAACACTTTTGGTACATTGTCCTTCCATTGATATTTTCGGTGGTTAAAATCGCTAAAGAAGTGTAAGAACATTGAACGGAAGGACCAAAATATTAAAAAAAAACATTAGTCAAATACCAAACGTGGATAAAGTGAAAGACATGGACTACATGTGAAATTGGCATAAAACTCTTAGGACTAAAAGTGGAATAAAACTCCGAAGAACGTACTCCCCATATGGAAAAAAATTTCTGCCAACAGCTAGAAAAGAGAAGATTATATGCCCGGTTTGCTGAAGACTGAAGAGTCAGGCCAATATTTTCTTTAGTTATCGGACTGTGCATCGTCAATCTGCCCGAAATATTATGACGTTGAAGCTCAATGGACTTCCACCTTTCAAACCCTCTAAGATGCAAACATCACCCAGTTTCAGCTCGTTGTCTAACACGAAGTCCCTCCATCCTTTGATCTTGACACAAGCTGATCTACCTATGGTGCATTTGGCAGACCATGATCTCCCACTCGAAATTAGCAATACATCAGTATGCAAATCATTGTGCTTTGAAGTAAAGAGGTTCTTAACAAATTGCAAGGGAATGCTCTGAAAAAACAACAAGCGTTAGGATAGTAGTCCGTTTGGTAATTCCTAGTTTTTAACTTAATAACTTTAGCAGACAACTTTTTTACCAACACGTAATTTTTTATTTCGCGTGTTGAATTCTGTAACAATCAAAATGAGTAAGGTTCAAGTTACATTTTTGGCCGAATGGGCAGAAGTTACCATGAAGGATCATTTTAGCTATTTTCAAGTATAATTTTCTCTTGATTTATTAGTAAAATATATTTGAAATATTACATATAATTTTTTTATAATGCAGTAGATTCAGTCACTTCAGCCATAATTTTATCAAATCCAGCAATTTGAATCCCCACTTTTGTTAACAAACGGGCACTAAATTAGCAAATTAAGATCTTGCAAGACATCTGTATGGAAAAAGGCACTTACCAATGCATATGGGGAGGAAATATAAGATCGGTACATGACGGAAATGTAAAATGGATTCTTTGACCGAAAAGATTTTGCTCTTTCAATGGCATTGGTTACCTTCCTAACCGATCTCCATTTATACTTCTTGTATGCTCCAACATGATAGGGAAATGGAAAGCCTATAATAACAAGAATAATAGAATTATAATAAATAATGTAATAGTGTACAAATAAGGGTGTTGGGCCATTTATGTTATGATTTTGGGCCAGCCCTTGAGGGTAGCCTTATTATAAGAGTGGGAAGGGGGGAAAGAGGAGGTTAGGCAGAAATTGGGATTGGACTGGGACTGGGAGTCGGAACTTTGTTTACGACTTGGGACTGTATTCTTCTCTTAACGATAATCAATAAACTTCTGTTTTCGATCTTCTTTGCCATTTCTAGTTTTCTACCTTCGAATTACTGTTGAGATTAGTGATAACCTAACATTGGTATCAGAGCAATCGACGCCTGGAACCATGGAGAAGCGCTATGGTTTACGCGAAGAACATCGATGGTCAGAACTGGCCGCATCTGGTTAGCGCAAATTGGAACGAAACAGCGAGAAGATGGGGAAGAATCGCGATGAAGCGCGGAAGACTAGCGATGATGGGTGGAAGACTCGCGATGAAGTCGGAGGTAAGTCGAGAACATCTTCTCACAGTTCGCATTCCACTTCGCACCTTAGGAACGCGAGAAATTATGTCAGTCCAGAGGAATCACCAGATTTACCTGTATTCAAAGGAGAGGACCCGCACAGATGGATAATGAGTATGCGATACTTCCGACTCAAAGGTACTGCTGAAAAATACAAGGTTAGAGTAGCAGAAGAAACAATGGAGGAAATGGCGTACAATTGGTTTCAATTGTGGGAAATTGGAACGAGAGAAAAGAATTGGGAAGTTCTAAAGGAAGCAACAATTAGGAGTTTCCAACCTACACGCAGGCGGAAGACAGAAAACCGGGAATCATCACGATCGAAAAGAACTTCTCACAATTCACATCAAAGTGCGACGCGATCAGCGGAAAAATCTCCCAGTTCGCTACTCGCAAACCACTTCTCAGCAGTATGTGAGTCGGCAGCAACCTCCTTCTGAAGATACTTTTACCTCTGAAGATACGATCATCTATAGTGACGAAGAACGAGAGAAATCTTATGTGGTGAATCAATCCTCGATTGACAGGGAAAATAAATCTTCTGATTATAAATTTACTGGCTCAAATACTTCTGAGTTGGAGACCAAGGTGGTTCCTGAAATTTATATAGGTACTGAATATTCAGTGGAACACACTAGTCTTGGAGGTCCTGTTACATCTGCATACCTGGTAGATAGAACTCAAAGTTCGGAAATAGGTGCAGCAAAGTTAACAGATTATGCTCATCAGGACATCCTTACTGTCACTGGACAAGCAAATGAATCTCAAGCTACTTCGCATTCAGGTTCTACAAATGGAATTAGTGGCGAAATGAGAGATGCGGCATTCAGCAATGAAGTGGAACAATTATGGGGCAGGGTGAAAACAAATTCACTATCTTTTGGTGCAGGGACTGCTAGTATAGAGAATAATGAGAAAATAGAAGAGGGAAAATATGGAGGGAAGTTTCAAGGAATCATTAGTTCACACACTGATGCTACTGAGGGACTAATCAAGCAGGGATGGATACTGAAGATTGAAAAACACGGTTTCGTTGTTTGGTACTACAATAGCTGGCAAGATGTTTCTCCCCAGTTTGAGTTGAGGTTTGTTCCGGACTCTAAATTAAACTCAAGCTATTCGGTTGCACCAAAGAGAGAGTTCTTACTGTGATGAAGAAATTCTTGTACTTCTCTGGTGAACTGGAGGCTCGTGTGACTGCATTACTTAGGGAGGTCAAGAAGCATGCAAATATCATTCTTCTTATCGATAAGATCCTTACACTAATCGATTTGGACCCAGATGAGAGAGGAAGCAAGGGTTCTGGACTTGCAATTCATGTGGTATTTTCTGCAATTCGGCACTCCTCTGATTCTGTACTGAGATGGACTGATGAGTCTGCTGTTGGTAGCCATATTGAAGGACATGTGACTGCATTAAGAAATTCATAATGCATATTACTGCATATTGAAGGACATGTGACTGCACCAAGGGCGGGGCATCTTACTGTGATGAAGAAATTCTTGTACTTCTCTGGTGAACTGGAGGCTCGTGTGACTGCATTACTTAAGGAGGTCAAGAAGCATGCAAATATCATTCTTCTTATCGATAAGATCCTTACTCTAATTGATTTGGACCCGGATGAGAGAGGAAGCAAGGGTTCTGGACTTGGCTTTGCTAATCTGTTAAGGCCATTACTGGGGTTTCAACCTATAAGGGTTCATGAACAGAGCCAGGAGGATACTGTCCAGGTACTGCCAGGGCTGAGTGAGAATGATGAGTATAGTAAGTATAAATATACTTATGAGGCCATAACAGCTGCTGTGCAACTTTCAGCTAGACACAAGAGTGATAGATATCTTCCAGATACAGCCATTGATTTTATTGATAAGGTTGGGTTGAAGAAGTCTATCTTGAAGCCTGATTTTAAAGTTGATCAGCTTTCGGTTCTGGATGTGGAAGGCTGCAATGTGGTATTTTCTGCAATTCGGGACTCCTCTGATTCTGTACTGAGATGGACTGATGAGTCTGCTGTTGGTAGCCATATTGAAGGACATGTTCATAAAATACAGGAATTTGGGCTGGCATCACTTTTAAGAATCGGGAAACCAATATGTTCTTGAGTATTCTGCCCGAAGTTCATCAGGAACCAGTCCCTGAAGCTCATTCTGTTGCTGCAAGAGCTATTGGCTCTCTTATAAGGGAAAGGAAAGAAGAAAACTTCTCAGACTTGGGACTTTGGCGGTTGGAGAATCTGACATCGCATGGCAGTACTGTGGTGCACAACTTATTTTGCATAAGGCTTGTTGTAGACAGTGAATTGAGTAATTTGAACAACCTCAAATCTGCATCCAACTCACTGATAACTTCAGAAGTAAGAGTCCATGAGGAGTTGTTTGAAAAAGAGGAATTAATTGTAGCCAGTAAGTGCTTGAAGGCCACTGCAACAAATGAAACTGCACTCGACATATCTTCTGCAGCCGCAACATCTGTGATTTTGGAGGTACAAGTACTGAAGCTTCTGATTCAACAAACTGCGAGATATTGGGAAGGAAGAGGCGCCCGGATGAAGAAGATGTTGAAGGTCAACAAGGCTGTTTCCTATCACCCACCTTGAGGACAAGGTGGTTGTTCAAGGGGGGTGATATGATAGGGACATGGATAGCCTATAATAATAAGAATAATAGAATTATAATAAATAATGTAATAGTGTACAAATAAGGGTGTTGGGCCATTTATGTTATGATTTTGGGCCAGACCTTGAGGGTAGCCTTATTATAAGAGTGGGAAGTGGGGAAAGAGGAGGTTACGCAGAAATTTGGGATTGGACTGGGACTGGGAGTCGGAACTTTGTTTACGACTTGGGACTGTATTCTTCTCTTAACGATAATCAATAAACTTCTGCTTTCGATCTTCTTTGCCATTTCTAGTTTTCTACCTTCGAATTACTGTTGAGATTAGTGATAACCTAACACAACACCTGCAAGATTTTTAAATGAAAACTAGTACGATTCATAAGAAACATATTAACCATATTAATCATGTTACTCGGTACTATGAACTGATGAACACATTTTATAGGTGTTATGATATAAGGGGGGGGGGGGGGGGGGGGGGGGGGGGATTTACTGATTTAGTCGTGTAACTTCCAGTTGAATTATACCCCTAACTTTACATAGTTTCAGATCATTTCTTGTAACTAATACCTTCCATTGGGAACTGTCGGAAAAAATACATAGTATATCGGAAAACATGTTGCCTACATTAAACTTTTCGTTGCTCTGGTGACAAAATCTTTAATAGGGACAAAGTTAATAGTTACAAGACATGATGTGCAACTGCCTATCATCTTTAAATACAATATAACCCCAGTGGGGCAAAGGCTCCCACCTACGATAGGGTAAGGGAGTCGAATGTAAGCAGCTTTACCTCTGTATTAAAGCACAAAGAGACTGTTTCCGGATAACCCATGATGAAAATTGCGTTAAAAATTGCATGGACTAACTGCTGCTTCATAACAAGAAGCACAAACAGTTTGGTGAGTCATTTTGTGTTATTCCATCATATTCCCAAACAAAAAATAGTGAATCTTTGGCTCCAATGGAAGTGATGGAAAATTCCAATCATCTTTTAATACTAATCTAAAGTCATATTCAGTGGCCCACATATATATTACTACTTGTATATTTATATATTTAAATAGATAAATGATGTGATAAATTACTCCAAATTTTTAGAATGGTTGAGTTTTGTTCTTTTTCCATCATTTTCAATGGAGTCAAAGACTCACTATTTTTTGGCTTGGGAATATGATGGAATAAAGCAAAATGGCTCACTAAACTGTCTGCGCTTCTTTGTTATGAAGTAACAGTCAGTCTATGCAATTTTCGACGCGATTTTTACCAGGAGTCATTCGGAAACAGACTCTCTGTGCTTTAGTACAGGGGTAAGACTGCGTACATCTGACCCCCCCTTACCCCACCGTAGGTGGGAGCCTTTGCGGCACTGGGGTAATGATGATGATGATGTTGAGTTTTGTTCTGTTCTTGTTCATATTGACTTGTTGTTAAATATGTTGGATTAAGCTGTGATACCATTAATTATTATAATTTAATTTAAAGAAACTGTAGCTAAAGTTATTAATGCAATTTCGTATTATCCATAAAAATGCAATTTTGTATTAACGACGGTTTTTATTCAAACTCGACATTTAGTGGGTAAAATACATCAAGTGTATTTTTTATTTTAAATATTGAACGGGATTTAATTAATTTTATTAATTCGAACCCGATATAATTATATTATTTTGGATAAAATCTGGCCAACGATGACAATGCTACCGTCAAAGATTCAAAGTTATTGACAAATATGTTATTATTCAGGTGAACCAGGTTGGGTAAAAGTAGGGGTCAGCTTTTTGTTTTTAATTTGGTTTTCGACTTGGTTCGATTTGAACAACGTTGAGAGAATGATTACGAGATAAAAACAATGTCGCATTACAATTTATGTCATTTTTTTGTTTTTTTCCGTTGGAATATACTTAACTAAGGTCTAATGACATCTTTTATTCAGTCTTGTATGTAGTATTCATTTTGATTCAACTAAATATGGATTGAAAGAAATGTTACCAAATTGCATGTGATTTGATTTGATCAAACCGAGCTGAAATACCCACCCCAAGATATAAATCCATCAAAAGAGAGAGGTAAGAATGAAAATCTCACTCTTGTTTTCAGGATCCAGAGAAGGTGAGCTCTCATGTACATGGTGGAGTGACTCTTCCAGATTCACTCTGTAACTCAATCCGTTGACGTCACCAACTTCGGATCCAAACCCTTCTTTCCTCTTTCTCTTGTTTGGGCTGCATTCTGTTTCCATTTTTTCCTGGAAGATCTCATCATTATCACATTCAGACTCGGAATTGCAGGTGGCTTTGAATCTGGCATCGTCACCATCATCATCATCATGAGTTTTGAATTGTGGGTATTCTATTTCAGTAGCACTCTTGTCGAATATGATGACATGAAAATGGGATTCTCCGTCATATCTGAATACCAGAAAGTGGCCATCTCTTATTGAGTATTTCCGAGTGAACTCTTTCCATCCCTTGGCTAGACAAACTTGACCTTGGGAATGAACCAACTCGATTTCCCAAACTTCCCCAGTTGGAACCTCAAAAGATCCCACCTTTGGCATTTTCTTTCCATATTTGCTCACAAACTCTTCCGGAATTCTCTGCAAAGATCTCAAACTCAAGATTGTCCCCATACAAGAACATTTATTTAAACGCGTTTTCCACACAGGAAAAACTTTTTATGTGTAACCTAGTCTAATCTGGTCAAGTAGAATTTAAATATATCATGTTAGTTCCATTATTTAAATATGAAAAAAACTACTTTCGTCTAATACTTTAGACCTTGTCTAGCTTGAATATGGTATGATTTGACTATCAGTTACTTCAATACCTTTCGCCTAATCCATTGACGACTGACGAAGCTTTGCGACTTCATTCCCTGCTCTGCTATTTCATCCCCTCTTCTTCGATTTGATTCCCTCTGCGATGGTTTCTATTGGCTAGGGTTCGTGTGCGGTGGCGGTTTCTGATTAACGGTGAGGCGGCTGGATTTGCGGAGTGTGATGCAGTAATTGCAGGGGTGGGAGAGTAGTGTCCGGTGGCTGGAGGGCGGGTGTGTGGGTAAAGCAGTGACGGCATTGGAATTGGGATGGGCAGTGACAGTGGCCTGGGGCTGGGAAGGCTGGCCGGAGAGGTGGCTAGGGAGGGGTAGGGGGTGGCGGTGACAGTCACTCGACGAGGCAGTGGCAGCGGTCACCGGAAAGATCAGGGCGTTGGTCACTGGACGGGCTTGGTGGTGGTCACTCGGATTGGTAATTGTAACTGTGTGGTGGTGCTCACTGCCCAGGTGGACACCGTGGCATTAGTGACTCCAGACAGAGTCGATTTGACATTAGTCATTATAACTATGGTGATTGTAGCCAGTCAGCTAGGTTTAGTAATGTGTATAGTAGTACTATAGTGGTTTTCTTAGTCTTTTTTAGTCTCGTTTTTGGAATTTTCAAAAAAATCTAATTTCTGTCCATTGCTTGATTTTTAATACTACCTCAGTCCCATTTTATGTGTCCCACTTTGGTTTGGCACAATTATTAATAACGTGGTTGAAAAAATAAAAGTTATGGTTGAGATTTGAGTCTAATAAAGTGAAGTTTTTTTGCAAAAATATTACTAAAATAAAATTTATTTACACAAATATGACTAATAGTTACTACAATGTAATGTCATGGTAACTTAAGTTTAAAAATTGAACATGAGTTACTATGATTGCATTACTACTCTAGTCACTAGTCACATTTTTGTAAATAATCTTTATTTTAGTCATAAATATGTAATTATTTCTAAAGTGAAATACTGTAGAACACATATTTCTTTTCAAAAAGGTAGACCCTCCTAATAATTTTTTGTTGTTGACAGTGGTTGGATACTTGGATACAAAGGTGATTACAATTTGATGCACAATAAATGATTTTCCAACACACTTTATAGACTATAGTAACTCACACACAATCATTGTTCTTCATTTAGCCAATAAGTGTGTCAAAGATACAACAATCTGCAAACTCATTTAGCAGGAGGAGCTCTGTAATAAGCTGGAATTGTTGCTGGGAAGAACATCTGTCTCACTCCTGCAGCCTTAAGGAGAAAATGGAGGGGCGGGGACAACGAATAAGACCGGACTGACTTAAGCTTGTCCTACTTGAACTAAAACTAAGAACCATTTCACTACTAATTAGTGATTGTAAAGTAAGACCTAGCTTTTCATTTATGAGTAATAGTTTGTTGGGATCCCTACTTAATTGGAGAGGTTCTAGAAAATTCTAGAGCTTTCTAGAGAAGTATAGAATTTTCTAGAACGTTGCGGAGAATCCTAGAGAAGTCTAGAACTCTCTAGAAGCTTGCGGAATAATGTGGAATCCTCTGGAATATTCTAGAGATGTGTGGAACCTTCCGGAAGCTTATGGAAGAGTATGGAAACATATGGAAGAGAATGGAGAGGTGTAGAGATTCCTTGGAATTCTCTAGAATAGGTAGTCATGTAGATCATTCTAGAGAAATATTCTCCACCACTCATTATGGAGGTGTAGTATAAATAGGAGTAGGAGCATCCATTCCTAACTATCCCAATCCTAATCCTAGCAATCCTAGCAAGAGAGAATCCACTTCCTAGAGTGAGAAAGCTAGAGAGTTAGAGAGCCTCTTTGAGAGAGAAAAGAGTTAGCTTGGGAAGGTCATATCCTCAAGCTTGAGTGAGCCACCATTGAGTGAGACAATTTTGTAACATTCTTGTAAATCCTACTATTCTTTTGTATAGTGGAAGAATCTCCATATTGGAGAATTTAAATCGTGTGCTCCCATTACTACCTTAATTCCTAAGTGCCTATCTTAACTTCACGAAGCGGGAAATTCCGGAGTTTTTTCCCAACAGTGGTATCAGAGCCAGGTTCATTTGAGGTTGTCATCAGCTCGTGTAGTTCAAGATGGAGGGTAGCGTCGCCCATGATGGAGACATGTTCAAGCTAACTGCCAACAACTACTCATATTGGAAGCCAATGATGGAAGACCATTTATACTGCAAGGATTTGCATGAGCCCATCATCTACAAAGAGAAGGTGGAAGGCAAGAGTGACGCTCAATGGGAGCTACTGAATCGGAAAGCCGTTGCTATGATCCGTAAGTACATCGACAAATCCCTCTTCGAGCATGTGTCCACTTACACGAATGCTTATGAATTATGGACAAAACTTGAGTCCATGATTCAAAAGAAGACACCTCGTAATAAAGCCAATTTAGTTCGACGGTTGGTGAAATTGGAGTATAAGAATGGTCAAAGTATGATTGAACACTTGAATAACTTCAAGGGGCTCGTAAATCAACTAACAAAAATCGAGATGAAGATTGATGACGAGTTGCAAGCCCTTCTACTCCTTAGTTCCTTGCCAGAAAGTTGGGACACACTCGTGGTTACACTTAGTAACTCAGCTCCGGAAGGAAAGCTAACCATGGACACCGTCAGTGATAGTCTTCTTGGCGAAGAATCAAGGAGAATGGAACGAGGTGAGTCTATGCATCCTGAGGCTAATGTTATCGAGAACCGGGGTAGGAATGAGACTCGTGGACGCAGTAAAAGCCGAGATCCGCAACAATCTCGAGGTAGGTCCAAGTCACGCTCGAAGATCACATGCTGCTACTGTGGAAGAATGGGCCACAGGAAAATGGAGTGTCGATCCTTCAAGAGAGACCTGAAGGCCGGTAACGTCAAAACAGACCAAGTCACCCCAACGAAGAAGCAAGAAGAGAAGAGTACCACTGCCGTAGTCGCAAAAGAAGATCTGCTATATCTCGTTGGAGAAGGTAATATCCTAAACATTGCTTGTGATGATAGTTCCTGGATTATCGATTATGGTGCTTCGTTCCATGTCACTCCCCATGGAAGTTTCTTCTCATCCTACCAAAGTGGTGACTTCGGTACGGTTCAAATGGGAAACCAAGATAGGAGCAAGATCGTTGGGATAGGAGACATCGTCCTGACAACTAGCACCGGATGCAAGCTTGTTCTCAAAGATGTGAGGCATGTCCCGGCCATGCGCCTCAATCTTATCTCCGCTGGAAAGTTAGATGATGCTGGTCTGATGAATTACTTTGGTGAAGGAAAATGGAAGCTCACCAAAGGAAGTCTAGTCATGGCTAGAGGAAAGAAGGAAGGATCGTTGTATGTGATGCAAGCTAAGCTCTGCAAAGGAGAGGTAAATATAACCACTGATGACATGGAAGTATGGCATAAACGACTTGGTCACATCAGTGAGAAGGGCCTTCACATACTTGCTCGGAAACAACTCCTCCCGGACGTGAAAGGTAAGTCACTTGATCCTTGTGCACACTGTTTAGCTGGAAAACAGCAAAGGGTTGCTTTCCAAAGATCTTCTCTGCCCACAAGGAGAAAGAACATCCTCGACCTTGTACACACCGATGTGTGCTCAATGTACGAGAGATCTATTGGTGGTGCGTTGTACTTTGTGACCTTCATTGATGATCATTCAAGGAAGGTATGGTTGCACCTGTTAAAATCAAAGGATCAAGTACTTGACGCTTTCAAGGAATTCCATGCTCTTGTAGAACGTGAGACAGGAAGGAAGATCAAGTGTGTACGATCTGACAATGGAGGTGAGTATAGAGGTCCCTTTGAAGCCTATTGCAAGAAATATGGCATTAGGCTAGAGAAGACTCCACCCAAGACACCACAATTGAATGGGCTAGCTGAGAGAATGAATAGAACTATTGAAGAAAGAGTCCGTTGTGTGCTCTCTCAGGCTAAGTTACCCAAATTCTTTTGGGGAGAAGCTATAATGGCCGTAGTTGACATCGTCAACCTCACACCATCGGTTCCTTTGAACGGCGCCATCCCAGAGGAAGTATGGACGGGCAAAAAGGCTTCATACAATCATCTTAAGGTGTTCGGGTGCAGAGCATTTGTTCACATCCCCAAAGACGAGCGAGCTAAGCTCGACGCAAAGACGAAGGAGTGCATATACCTTCGCTCACCCAAGGATGAATTCGGCTATCGGCTATGGGATCCAATCAACAAGAAGGTTGTTCGTAGCAGAGATGTGGTGTTCTTCGAAGACCGAACAATTGAAGACATTAAAAACTCGGAGAAGCCAAGATTGAGAAGCAGCAGGAGCACCGGACCTACGCAAGTTCGATGTGAGGATACTGATCCACATCAAGACAATAATGTCGAAGACCATGAGCCTGTGTTAGAGCAAAGAAACCAGGAGACTCATGATGAACCAACTCAGGAAGATCCTCAATCTAGTTCTCTGCCAGCACCAGAGCCGAAACGATCCTCAAGGGAGAGAAGACCATCCACTCGGTACAACACCGAGGGGTACGTGATGCTCACGGATGAGGGGGAGCCACAAAGCTATAAAGAAGCAATCTGTGATGTTCATAAGGAAGAGTGGAGAAGAGCCATGCAAGAAGAGATGCAATCCTTGCATGAGAATCACACTTATGAACTTGTGGAGCTGCCAAAAGGGAGAAGAGCCTTGAAGAATAAATGGGTGTATCGAATCAAGACCGAAGACAATAGCTCAAAGCCTCATTACAAAGCTCGATTGGTTGTCAAAGGATTCGGTCAAGAAAAAGGCATCGACTTTGAGGAAATATTCTCTCCTGTGGTAAAGATGTCATCCATCCGAGTTGTTCTTGGCCTAGCAGCGGCGCAAGATTTGGAGATTGAACAACTCGATGTCAAGACAGCGTTCCTTCACGGCGACCTAGAGGAAGAGATCTACATGGAGCAGCCCGAAGGGTTCAAAGTTCCGGGCAAGGAAAACCTAGTATGTCGCCTCATGAAGAGTCTATATGGCCTCAAACAAGCACCGAGACAGTGGTACCAGAAGTTTGAGTCCTTCATGGCAGAGCATGATTTTACAAAGACAAAGAGCGATCATTGTGTCTTCATAAAGAGGTATGCAAGTGGCGACTTTCTCATACTTCTACTCTATGTTGATGATATGTTGATTGTTGGACAAGATCGCGTAAAGATAGATGCTTTGAAGAAAGGTCTAAGCAAGAGCTTCGCCATGAAAGATTTGGGACCGGCTAAACAAATCCTTGGGATGAGAATAACTCGTGATAGATCGAAGAGACTGTTGTGGCTATCCCAAGAGAGGTACATTGAGAAAGTGTTGGAACGGTTCAACATGAACAAATCAAAGCCGGTAAACACACCACTTGCTGGACACTTCAGGTTGAGTTCGAAGAAAAGTCCCACAAGTGAGAAAGAAAAGGAGGAAATGAAGAAGATTCCATACTCATCTGTAGTAGGCAGTCTCATGTATGCAATGATATGCACAAGACCAGATATCGCCTATGCAGTTGGAGTCGTTAGTCGTTTCTTGGCCAACCCTGGGAGTGAACATTAGGTAGCGGTCAAATGGGTCCTCCGGTATTTATGTGGAACTTCCAAAAGATGTTTATGCTTTGGAAAAGGAAAACCTGTGTTAGAAGGATACACAGATGCAGACTTGGCCGGTGATATTGATTCAAGGAAATCAACATCGGGATACCCAACTACTTTTGCAGGGGGAGCTGTTTCCTGGCAATCAAAGCTGCAAAAGTGTGTTGCATTATCCACCACAGAGGCAGAGTACATCACAGCTACTGAAGCTTGCAAGGAGATGCTGTGGATGAAGAATGTGTTGCTCGAGCTGGGAATAGATCAAGAAAGGTACGTGTTGAAGTGCGACAATCAAAGTGCAATTTACTTGGCGAAGAACTCAACATTTCATTCCCGCACGAAGCACATTGATACAAGGTATCATTGGATCCGAGAAGTCCTCAAAGAAAAGAAATTGCATCTTGACAAGGTTCACACAGACGAGAACTGGTCAGACATGATGACCAAGGTTATACCGACAAAGAAGTTCGAAGATTGTTGTCAAGGTGCAGGTTTGCTACAACCCCCAATTAAGTTGGGAGGGGGAGATTTGTTGGGATCCCTACTTAATTGGAGAGGTTCTAGAAAATTCTAGAGCTTTCTAGAGAAGTATAGAATTTTCTAGAACGTTGCGGAGCATCCTAGAGAAGTCTAGAACTCTCTAGAAGCTTGCGGAATAATGTGGAATCCTCTGGAATATTCTAGAGATGTGTGGAACCTTCCGGAAGCTTATGGAAGAGTATGGAAGCATACGGAAGAGAATGGAGAGGTGTAGAGATTCCTTGGAATTCTCTAGAATAGGTAGTCATGTAGATCATTCTAGAGAAATATTCTCCACCACTCATTATGGAGGTGGAGTAGTATAAATAGGAGTAGGAGCCTCCATTCCTAACTATCCCAATCCTAATCCTAGCAATCCTAGCAAGAGAGAATCCACTTCCTAGAGTGAGAAAGCTAGAGAGTTAGATAGCCTCTTTGAGAGAGAAAAGAGTTAGCTTGGGAAGGTCATATCCTCAAGCTTGAGTGAGCCACCATTGAGTGAGACAATTTTGTAACATTCTTGTAAATCCTACTATTCTTTTGTATAGTGGAAGAATCTCCATATTGGAGAATTTAAATCGTGTGCTCCCATTACTACCTTAATTCCTAAGTGCCTATCTTAACTTCACGAAGCGGGAAATTCCGGAGTTTTTTCCCAACATAGTTAAGCAAATGAGAAGCACGGAGTAACATTCTTGTCCTAATCCCAATTTATAACTCTTATTTAGGAGAAAAATATAATAGTTCTACTTCATACATTTCACAAAATCGCTATGCTTTTACCCCTATTTCAAAATTTCCAAATCATGATTTTTGATAAAAGAGCATTATTGCCAGATTAATATAGAATACACATGTAAATCTGATAGCTTCCCAGTCTTACTTTCTTGATTCGTTGAACTGCTTCTTTAATCTACGGAGTATATTTATTGCTATCGTTCAGAGCATGACGGAGCCAGAAATGTACTTTTAGGGGGTCGGGATTTGAACATCAAACTTAAAACTTCAACACACTCGTGTAAATTATGAATTTTTCTGGAGATTGGTGGTCGAGGCTTACCAGGGTGGAGTCTTCTGAAGGAAATATAATCTTGACAAACTGTACCCAGTTTCCTGATGAAGAATTCGAACGAGAATTCCCCTCGCCGCCTTGGCTTTGCCGTAAGAGCTTTGTCTCCATAATTGCTCAAAAGCATGTAAAAACAAGAAATCAATATTAAACGAAAGTAAAATTTAATGAACTCATAACTAGACAAGAAGTACTATCACGGACTTTCCATACTCCAATCTTCAAAACGTTCAATCAACCCTTGCCCCAACGCCTGACCGGAGCATGGGGACAGGTACGAGCAAGAGCATCTACTGTGCTAAATGCTAATGGGCATCTGATCCAAAAATTTAATCCCTTTAAACTATATGGAGTCTAAATCGCTCCAAATAGCATTAAAACTATTTCAAAAATTCAAAATAGAATTTGTTATGCTTTTTTCTAAAATACAACCGTATTAGTCCTATTTAAACATAACTATTTTTTTATTCCATTTTTATCCTTCTTTTAATATGAGTTAAAAATAGTCAAAAATCATAATTAAATGTTTAATTCATAATAAATTCCAAAAAAATTCAAAAATTCGTAGAAAAATAATTAAAAAATTTAGAAAATTTATAAAACTTCCATTTTTTTCGGGAAAATGGAAACTAATAATCCAACCTTTGCACCCCATCTTCATTCAATGGTACCTGATCGGTTGATGACCCGCTATTCCAAGTTATTTTCTTCTTATCTTTGCAAAACATTATGTGCAATATATTATACCATAAATCTCACCTTATGGTCACATAATGTTTTGCAAAGATAAGAAAATAACTTGGAATAGCAGGTCATCAACCGATCAGGGACCACTGAATGAAGATGGGGTGCAAAGGTTGGATTATTCCTGAATAATCAAAGGGTGAGACTATTATAAGAAAACCGCTAAAAGGTTGGATTATTAGTTTCCATTTTCCCTTTTTTCTGAAAATGTCAAAAAAAATGGCATATTTCTCTTTGAGAATATCAACATTTTCATTGTTTTCTGCCATAAATATGGCATTCGTAATGAATTTAGCATTTTCCCCCTGGTAACCGGAGGTGGTGGTGCTGAGGCGGCAGAGGCGGCGGTGTTTTTTTTTTTTGAGATTTTAATTTTTTTTTTATTTTTTTTTAATTTTTTTTGAAAATAAATAAATAAATTGTTATTATTGAAATATTTTTATTAATTTTTTAGTGTTTTTACGAGTTTTTATTACTTTTTATTATTTTATTATGAATTAAAACATTTCAATAGCTATAAGGGTATATTTGTCCAAGACACATAATTAGTCATATGAAAACATGGTTTATTTTTTGGTCCTATTTGTGCAAAGCGAGTGACTTTTAGTCCTATTTTGATAATTAACTTTTTAAACTATCGCATTTTTATCACTTAAAATTTTACTCTCTATCCTTATTTTTGGTATATTCCATTATTATTAATTTATTTAATTTGAAAAGGATTATAAAATCCACATTTTGCCTACTATAATTATTTATTGCGTAAAAATAAAAATAAGTATTGATGGAGTATATGGCCCGGGAACCCCCGGCCCACAGACTCCTACTACTCCAGCGAAGGCCCAACAGGCCCAGAAGGCCCAGCAGGCCCAAATCACAGCGCCCAGAGTGCCAAGCAGCCCGCACTACGCGTCAGGGGTGCCTTCGGCCCCCTGGCCGAAGGCTCTAAATTCTCACAGAACGGGTTTCTCAAGCAAATTAAGAAACTGGGAGAAAACGGCGAAAACAGTAGCCCTCGGCACTGTGAGCCCTCGGCACCAGGATGCCATCGGGTGGAAGAGCCCTCGACTACTGCTCTATAGCCGAAGGCATCTCACTCGACAAGATATCCGCCTCACATGCGTACAGATCACCGTACCCCGCACAGACGTCCCATCCAACAGCCGCATTAAATGCGGCCACATGCGGCTGCCAGCGCCAACCAGTTGAGGTGACCCCTCGGCCAATGAGCGCTTGACACGTGTCCCTGCCCGGCATTTATTGCTACTATAAATAGCACCTCATTTCCTCATTTGTAACCACGCTGAAAACGGCATTCATACTGAATACACTCTCTCTCTACTTTTACTTACTTGCTCTGACTTCTCTCTAAGTTATTCCCCGTAATAACCCTTCGGATATATACCCCCGGGTTGACTATCCATCATTTGGTGCTCTCGTTGAGAGCTCGAACAATCAAGTAAGAAACCCTCCCCCTCGATCAAACGCAAAACACCAGCCCTCCATCAAAATGGTGAGGACAACACGTGCCAACTCAAAGAACGTAGAAGACAAGAACCTGGCCCTCGGCGACGTCAACGCCCCCGAAGCCTCTCACAGGGCTCCCGAGGGCGGTGTCATCGCCGGGCTGGAACAGGCGGCTGTCGACCTACGCCTTCAGATCCAACAAAATGCCCCCGATGCCCGCCTCGGCATCGAGGCCAAGAAGAAAAACCGGAGCGATGACCAAGGCAGCCCTCCGGTTCTCACCATCGACGTGCAATCGGCGCTCTCCGCCTTCATCCAAACGCTCACCCAGAACCCGGGTGCCTTCGGCACCCTGGCTCCAGCTCACCCTCAGGTTGGGGAAAACATCATACTTCCCCCTCTGCCACACCCCTTCGGAAATCCCACCCCTCGGGTGAGGAACGACGAGGGGGTGGTGGCCCAAGATACGTCCTCCCAGGAAGTTCAGTCCCGGGACCGCCATAATGACAACAGGGAAAGGCCCCGTACTTCCGCCCTCAACCGGCTCGGAGGAGGGCCAGACCGCCGAGGGGTCCAAGACCGCCTCGGGGGGAAAGCACTCCAAAGGCCCCAGGAAAGCGGGGGATCTGTTTCGAGGGCAGACGAGGAGCGTCCCCCTCGGGACAAAGGCAAGGTACCCCTTCATGCCGATGATGCTCGGCACCAAATCAACCAGGCCCACTCGGCCCGGGTTCGTTCGCAGGGGGCGGAGACCCTCCCGAAGGATCCCCGGGACGAGATTATTGCGGCCCTCCAACGCCGGCTTGACGAGATGGAGTCCAACAAAGCTCACGCCACCACCTCCACCCCTCATTCAGATCTCAAATACGAGGCCATGATGGCCAAAATGGAGGAGTTACAGAAGAAGGTGGCCGAGGGCTCCGGGGAACCCGTCATCCAGCTCCGGACTCGGACGCCATTTACCCCAAGGGTATTGGCGGCCCGGATCCCGGAAAAATACCGAGGGCAACATATACAGCCCTACAACGGAAAAACGGACCCCCAGGAACATTACAGCAAGTACCAGAACAACATGATGATGGTAGGGTCGTCGGACGAATATTTGTGTCGTTGGTTCCTCTCCACCTTAGAGGGGCCGGCATACGAATGGTTCAACAGGCTGCCCGAGGGCTGTATTGATTCATGGCAAGAACTCGCCCAACGATTCTTGACACAATTTGCCGGGAGGCGTCGCACAAGGAAGCACTTCTCCCACCTCCTAACAATACGCCAGAAGAGGGATGAGACCCTTCGGGACTTCCTAGAGCGCTGGAGGACGGAGGCCGACAATGTCGACGGTGCTGATGACGGGACCCTCCTGGCCCTCCTACAAACCGTCCTCCGCACCGGCAACTTTTCAAGGAGCCTCATCATTGAACCCCCCCCCCCCCCCCAGCATCCGGACCAGCAGCCCCCGAGGGCTGACAACAAGCATAACCGAGGGCCGGGGGCTCCTCCAAATCACCCCAAGACTTCGGAACCCTCTGATGACCGCCCTCGGCAAGGCCAAGCCAAGCCCGGGGGAGGTTATAAGAGCAACCCTAAGACTTGGGCACAGCCCATTCTCCTGGACCGCCCTCGGACACCATTGACGCACCCCGTCAGCATCATCCTCGATTTTGCCGAGGAGAGGGGCCTCGTTGAGCGCGACTCTCGCGCACCCCCGGAGGTACACGCTATCAACCCTCAGTTCCCCTACTGTCGCTTCCATCGGCACCAGGGGCACAGGACCGATGACTGCCATCAGCTAAAGACGGCCATCGAGAGGTTAATACAAGCAGGGCACCTGTCCCAATTTGTTCAGAGCCCTCGGCAGGAGGGACCTTCTCATCAGGGGCCTCCCCGAGGGCACCACACGAAGGTAAATGCTTGGGTAAACCCGAATACCATCCCCCTCGGCAAGAAGAGGGAAATTGGAAACTTGGAAGAAGAGGAGGAGGAATACCCCCACTACCAGGAGAAAAAACGCCACATCCTCATGATCACCGGTGGCAATACAGGGGGCGATTCCACCAGCCAACGAAAGAAGTGGGCTCAATCGCTTTATGTGGGGGAAGTCACTCATATGCCCCCGGTAAAGCGACTGAGGGAGGAACCCATCACCTTCACCAACGCAGATCTCCCTCCTACTTCTTCTCCTCACAGGGATGCCTTGGTGATTCGGACGGAGATAAACGACACCATCATTCACCGAACTTACATTGACACGGGCAGCTCCGTCAATGTAATGTACCTCAGCACCTTCAGAGAGCTGCATCTGGAGAGGGGGTCCCTTCGGCCCATTAAGACCCCTCTTGCCGGCTTCACCGGCGATACTATTGATTCCGAGGGGGTAATAACCCTCCCGGTGATCTTCGGCGACGGGCTCCATAGAGCCCGGCTCGAAGTGGAGTTCGTCGTCGTCAACATTGACTGCGCCCACAACATCATCCTCGGCCGGCCAGCCCTCGAGGACCTCGAAGCCATCATCTCCATGAGGCACCTCTGCCTCAAGTTTCCCGCCGAGGGGGGCATTGGCTACTCCCCGGGGAACCAGAAAATTGCCCGCGCCTGCTATCTTCAGGTCACTAAGAAGGTAAGTAAGACGGAATTCCGTGTTGACACCATCACCGGAGCCATCGACCAAGAGGAAAGAAGGCCGAGGGCTGAACCGACCGAGGACGTAGAAGACTTCGCGCTCGATCCGGCCCAGCCGGAGAGAGTCGTGAAGATTGGAGCCCAGCTCCCTGAAGATTTGAAGACCGGTATCACCGACGCCCTCCGCGCCTACTCCACTGTCTTTGCATGGGGTCCGGAGGACATGCCGGG